TTTTTTTAATATCTCTTTTGGTGAACAGAGATGTTTAATTTTAATATAGTCCAATTCATCAATCTTCTTCCTTATTGTTACTGCTTCCTTTATATTTAAATTTGTATTAAATCTTTGTGTACTCCAAGATCATGAAAGTATTTTCCTATGATATATTCTATACCTTTATTGTATTACTTTTATAATTAGATCTACAGTGAAATCAAGTGGTCACATAAGTGTGAGACTGTTTCTATTCTCTTCCATTGGTATATTTGTTTATCCTTAGGTCAAAGAACACTATTTTAATTACCATACTTTTTCATAGGTCTTAATGTCTTGCAATATAGATCTTCAAGCTTTGTTTTTCTTCAAGATATTCCTGAAAGGAGCATTCTGGGATGATGGCAGAGTAGCTAAACATCAGGAATCTGTCTCCTTGTCTAGATAACAGTTGTACTGGTGGAATCTGATGTAACTGCAGTCATATCTTGTTTTATTATGCTTTGCTTTATTGTGCTTTGCAGGTACTGTGTTTTTAACAAAATGAAGGTTTGTAGCAGCCCTGAGTCAAGCAAGTCTATTGGCATAAATTTTCCAGCAATATTCTGTCACTTCATGTCTCTGTGTCACATTTTGGTAGTTCTCACAATATTTCAAACTTTTTCATTATGATTATATTTATTATGGGGATCTGTCATGTGAGATTACAACTCACTAAAAACTCAGATGTTGGTTAGCATTTTTTAGCAATGAAGTATTTTAAAAATAGGATATGTACATTTTTTTAGTTATAATGCTAATGCACCCTTAATAGATTACAGTATAGTGTAAACATATATTTTTATGCATTGGGAAGCCAAAGAATTCATTTAATTTACTTTTTTTGGTAATATTTGCCTTATTTCAATGGTCTGGAACTGAACTGGCAATATCTCAGAGCTTTGCTTATATTTTGGAACTCTATAGTGTGTTGAAGGCTTGCAACCTCCAAGCTAAGTCTTAGATGGTAAATTGGGGTTAGTTTGGTTCATTTTAGCTCTCACCACAGTACTAGATACCCATCATTCATTCCTAGTCATGTGGCAGGCAGCTGTGCGTGTGTTCCTGAAGCAACCTGCACATAGCCCACAGGAGCCAGGGTTGGCAAAAAGGACACTGTCCTCCAAATGTTAGGCTACTGTACTCTGATCGTGACCGCTGTTTGTGATTATAGATGTGCCAGGAGTCAGGTGGCCGCTGTTGCACCTCTCCTCATTGTTATAAGCCCTTCCTCCTCTGGATATAGTGATTTCCAGGGGATTTCAAGGACCCTTCTCCTGCTTTCATTTTTCACTTTTTCTGTGTTTAGGAGCCAGACCCTAAATATTAAGACATTTAAAAGCAACTGCAGGGGCGCCTGGGTGGCGCAGTCGGTTAAGCGTCCGACTTCAGCCAGGTCACGATCTCGCGGTCCGTGAGTTCGAGCCCCGCGTCAGGCTCTGGGCTGATGGCTCGGAGCCTGGAGCCTGTTTCCGATTCTGTGTCTCCCTCTCTCTCTGCCCCTCCCCCATTCATGCTCTGTCTCTCTCTGTCCCAAAAATAAATAAACGTTGAAAAAAAAAATTTTTAAAAGCAACTGCATATGTGAGGAAAATTAGGAAGTGATTTCACATGCTCAGGGAAAGATGCTCCTTCATGAAAGATTTAAGACGACTTTAAGTTTACAGTTCAGGCTGATCCTTGGCACAGAAGCAGCCTACAACAATAAAAACACAAACACAAACATGCAAAAAACAACAGCAAAACTTGGAAAGGGGAAGAATATGATTTCTGGAGTTACCACATTGTTAGATTCAAATGTCCAGTTTTCAACAAAAATATCACAAGGCATACAAAAAAAAAAAAATAAGGAAGTATGGCCCATTCAAAGGAAAATAGCAAATCAACAGCAACTGTCCCTAAAGAAGATACACCTGGATATTCTTGGCTTTTTGAATTTCCGTATATAATTCACAAGCAACTTATCCATTTATGTTTTAAAAACACTTGCTGAGATTTTGATTAGGATTGCACTGAATCTATAGACTAACTTAAAGATAATTAATATTTTACTATATTAAGTCTTCCAGTCCATGAGCATTGTATAGTTCTTCATTTAATAAGATATTCTCTTTTTCTTCTTTTTTTTTTTTTTTTTTTTTTTTTGAGTTTAAATAAAAGAGGGAATTGTATTTAGATGAATACAAATGTTCTTGCAGGGCTTCTAACAGCTGTCATGGGTTAATAGCCAGAAGCACATCTTTGTGAAGGACAAACCATGTTGTGATCACAAACTTCCACATCTGCATCTGGGTTTTGCAAGATCATGAAGAGAATATCCTAGAGGATAGTCCTCCCTGCATAGTGCATAAGGGACTAGAATGTGGATTCATTTCTGCTTGCTTTTTGATCTTTATATTCATTTATGCTGGCCTCACATTTGTCTGGCACATTTCGGCAGATATTCCTGAGCTCACTCAGGCCTCTGAAATGGCTCAACAGCTGGAAGAGCACCTCGAATCTGAATGTATAAATTAATTTTTCTGTCTGAAGGATGGGTTGTAGTGTAATCCCAAAATTCCACTTCCAAATTCTTCATGATCATGTAACCAAGAGAATTTCCTAGAGTATCATCCCCCTCGTGCATACAAATGTCATAGTGTCTCTCTGTTCCAGCTGCCTGAACCATTTCCAGGGCTGTCTTCCTCTTGCCTTCAGCCACTGAGGTCTTCAATCCCAAGTATTTTTCTCTCCAACTCCTGGTCCTCTTCTTTTGTGGGGAGAGGCTTCTGGGATCTTCTGGTGGTGCTTGCTGATCAGAGGCTCTAACCCATATCACAAAACATGCCAGCAAAGCAACTAATCAGATTTTATCTCACCTATTTTTAATAGGATTTATTTTAGAATATCTTTAGATTCACAGCAAAATTAAGTGGAAAGTACAGAGTTCTCATGAATCCTCTGCCTCCACACTCACAACCTCTCCCATTATCAACACTTTCAGCCAGAGTGGTATATTTGTTATAACAGATGAACCTATATTGACCATCATTATCACCCAAAGTCCATAGTTTACATTAGAGTTCACTCTTGATATTGTACATTTTGCAGGTTTTAACAAATGTACAATACGTGTGTCCACCATTATCCCGTCCTACAGAAAAGTTTCCCTGTCCTAAAAATCTTTTGTGCTCTGCTTGTATCACTCCCTCCCTTCTAACCATTGGCAACAACTGATCTTTTTACTATTTCATTGGTTTTGCCTTTTCCATTATGTCATATAGTTAGAATCATAACCTTTTCATCTAGCTTCCTTCATTTAGTAATGTGCATTTACATTTCCTCCATGTCTTTTCATGGCTTGATAGCTCTTTTTTTTTT